ATCGAGATAGGGTGATATGAGTAGAAAATGAAAAAAAAGTTGAATCAAATCAAGCCATTTTTAATATACTTTTTCCATCTATGACCACAACAAATTGAAGTTTGAGGATGTATTAGTAGGAAACTTTTCTACTTATTATATCAATTACAATACTCATACTAACAAAAGATAACTACCAATGTTTTCTCTGGACTTGTGAAAAGATCCTACATCGTCGATGTGCACAACGTTTCCTCATGATTGAAATGCACCTATTCCAACTTTTGAGAATTTGGTCGAATATGATTTTCTCAACAACATCCTAATCATTTCAGTATAGGTTTCGCAACGTATAAGTCGCGTTGCTTGTATCTAGAGTAACTATATGAAAATCCAGAAAGTTAATCATGCGTTTTCAAAGCCAAGTCGGTTTCTCTTCTAGTGAAAATAAACATTCCACTTATTACCACTCAACAACTATGTTTGATTTATTATATATATTCCAGCACTGAAATGTACCATTGAAATAATCAGAAACTATCAAAAAGATGTTGAGCATGACCATTGTATGCTTGAGATAATCTCCTAATCCAATTGCTTAGTTCTTCTCCTTGTTCATTCCAGATCTCGTTTGTAAGTACTGGATCAAGCATACGACAATAGGCGTAACGACCAAAAATGATATAATCCACTTGACCTGGATGTGTTCCCTGAAAATACTGATTTGGATGTTCACGTAGAAATTCTAGGAGAGGTTGTACATTCATTTTAGCACGTCGCGTCAGCTCTTGGCGATCAAGTGCAAGTAGTTTTTGATACCCGTGTGGACCGAGCCGTGAGTCAGATGTGAAATAAATTCGTTGTTCTTCACCAATGATTTGTTGATCAAGTTGAGGAAAGAATAGATCATACCAGACAGCCCATTCTGATTTCGATGCACCTAAACCTAAATCAATCAGACGAGCATAATTTTTACCCGTGGCTACATGTTCAGAATGTGCATCACGTGATGGTTTACCATCACCTGTGAAAAGAGAGGATTCATCAGGATAATTATCTTCTAACCATTCAGCTATACGAAATGAATCGTAGATAAATGTACCATCAGGTAGTTCGATTGCTGGTACAGTAATGTTCGCCTGTCCTGAACGAATGACAAGATCACCACGTATATCTAAAAAATTGATCGGTACTGTTTCAAAATCGACATTTTTATGCAATAAACTCATGCGAGTTTTCCATGTTGTTGGCGAATAATATCGAGTTGATGTCGGTGATGGAGCAAGTTCGTATAATTTGATAACTCGATTCATATTTAAAGCAAGTGACAGAATAAAATATACGTAAGTCACTCACTTCTTATCTTATCTTTTAAAATGCATGTTGTAAAGAAACGCATCGCAAAGATGTCGTAAGAACGATTAAAAATTACCGATTGGATACTGTTGGTATCGCATTCGTCTTGATTTCACGAATCAATAACAAAGTCATAGGTAGAAAATGATTATTTTCACTTCTATCAAATCTATCTGTTTCTGGCTTTGATTTTATTGACATAGTTTATAAATTCTCTCAATTAGGATATTAACGCATTTAAAGTGACCGGGAGTCCATTGAGTATAGTGAAGAGTACACAGTCATCCATACTCATATTCGCATAGCCATTATGTGGCTATGTTATTCATCACTGAAAACCGATCTTGAAAGTGGAACCAATCAAGGATACTTTTAACTATCGCATTGATGAGCTTGAACAATAGATTCACAATTTTTGAAAATTCCATCTTGTCATTGTAACGATAATATGACGCTGATGGGCTGATCATGTAATGAGAAACTAGATAGAGTGAATCCGCTTACGGCCACTCTCGGTAATTATGTTTATTCGCTTCTTCAAATATCAAGAGAGTAACAACTTCATACGTAACACACGTATTTATACGAGAGAGAAAAAAGGAAAATCAATGAAGCCTACAATCAACATTGGCACAGTTATATGTTCACTGCGAGCTACATAGGTAAAAAAATCATCATGCACATTAGTACAGATGTCTATAAGTTTCTTGCAAATGTATGTTCTTCTTAAAATTTTGTTATTGATTGGATGGAAGGTGAATCTGTTTTTTGATTAATTGTCGATCCATTTAGCTTTTCAATTACAAGCTTTGATTGTCTTATATGCTTGTAGACTGGTATACTGTCTAGCGTTATAGAGACTACATTGATGCCACATAAGAGAGAAAAGTAAGGTCCCGTTTGCATTGCATTTTCTAAAGGAATGGCAACGGTCACAAGAATGCCTGCTGCACAACAGTTAACAAAATTGTTGGCGGCTGATACTGCTCCAGCTTCACTCTGTTTCTTGGCTGTTAAATAAGATGATACGCTTGGTTCGAGAACCGCTTGACCAATGCTAATCAAAATGAAACCAATGAGTGGTCCAGCCAGATTAAGCTTGTAGTGAAATGTCCATCCATAAATAATTAATCCGATTGGATGAAGAATGGATAAGGCGATAGCAGGCAAAAGACGTCCTTCAGGACATCTTTCATGTCCATAATGTTTGCTAGCTTTGTCCGACAGCCATCCACTAAGGATACTACTTGCGAACATGGCTAGTCCACCTGGTACGAAGAGTAGACCAATAATGGTTTCTGAGTAGCTATAGGGTCTCGCGCTAAGATAAGTAGAAAATAAAGTGAGACTGGAGTATAGAGTAGCAAGGGTCGTTGTCATCACAGCAATATAAGGAATTATTGTCAAGTCAGCCAAATAAGTTAGTGGTTGCCACGGTTTTCGAAATGGCATTAATTCATTTGGCTGAGCGTCGATTATGCATTTGGTTGGATTCGCTTTATGGAAACGGTTCTTCACAAAATATTGATGCGTTTCTGGCACGATTATCAACATTATGAGAAGAACACAAAATGAAAAGATTGACAAGAATATGAAAGTACTATGCCAACCAAACGCTTGCGATAATGGACCTCCGATCAAAGGACCAATTACAGGACCAATGTTAAAAGGTACATAAAAGAATGCAACTGCCAATCCTCGTTTTTCCTCTGGATAAATATCTGCCACCAAAGACTGACCAACCACGAGCGTTGCTGATACGGCGCCACCTTCTATGGCTCGAAATACAATGAGAACGGCAATGTTATGAGCAAATATGCATATTATTGATGCTACTACGAAGATAGTGAGCGCTACAACCACAGTAATCTTTTGTCCGTATCGGTCTGATATGCATCCCCAAAAAAGACTCCAAAACCCACTCATGAACAAGTAAATTGAGATACTGAGTGCTACGAGGGTATTAGACGTTTTCAAATCCCTCACAATATCATTGAGAACAGGCAAATAGATAGTATCGCAAAATGGAAGTAGAAAAGCAATCATTGCCAAAGCCGCAAGTAAAACGATACGTTTCCGATGACTTCTTACGTCATAGATAGAGATTTCTTCAACTGTAGGAGATAACGATTTAGCCAGTGATTGTTCCGCGGATGATCTTATGGCCATAGAAACATTTTCAAGTGATGCTAACGATGAAGAAAATATGAGCGAGCATACTTTGCCATTTTTGCTGTTGTTCACGTCCCGCATACTTTCATCTTTCCGGTAGATCTTCATATTTGGTGACGGCCAATGATCACTAAAGTTATCATCGTTGAAGTTCATCTACAACTGAAACTAACTAATTTTGAAAAACATCCTTCTACATATGCCTAGTACCACAATTTTTAAGAGCATCATGCGCAGATATCTAGTTGTGACGATTTCAGATAGAAGGCACGTTAGTGCTGATGGCATTACACTTTATTCGATTCTTCAAATTATCAATCGCATTGTTTTACATACAAATCACACGTTTATATAGGCAACGATGAGAGAGAACGAAAGAGCGTGAAATATAAGCATAAATATCAATGGCATTAAAGTAATGGCAAACGATAAGAGCTATGTCTAACAAAGAAGAATGTAATGAGAAAGTGTTAAACATCACCCATAAAATGTACTCCAATTGAAACCGCTATACTAATATGACTGAATACTTAGTTTCGAACAGTTCTTTTGCTACAGCAATAGACAGATAATCGATCGATGAGATAAATGTTTCTCAAGCGGAAAAGTGCCGTTCGAGTCAAAAATTGGTTCTTTTCTCGTTCTGTCAAAAACAAAAGACAAACAATATACGCATAAGTCAACGTGTGTATACTAAATTTATATAGAACTCCTGCGTCATCATCGTTTAGAAAAGATATCCGTATATACACAACATGTTCCATGCTATGCAAAACTTTACAAACACTGCTTGTTAGCCATTTCCGTTTTCATTTTTCACATTGCTTCTTTCTGAACGATTCATTCAGAACAAACTTCTAAGCAACTCTTTGACATACTTCACGTATTTTCGCACAAACTATGAGAGTTTTCCTCCTGTCATCCTAGCCCAAATTAATCATTGTTTTAAATAAATTTTTCCTACAGCCTTAGCATATCGTGCAAAATCATTTTTCTACTAACGATTATATATGTATGATCATCGTAGATCACACATGAAAGCATTTTTATTCTATGGGAAAGGTGCTATTTCATTTATCCAGAGCGTTTTTCCCATTGAATTTTTCATTTTTCCGCTACAAAAGCATTTTTCAAGTTCTACGCTTATTGCTGTAACGAAATATTTTGGTTAGTCTTTATGTGTTTGATGTATTTTTTTGTAAGATAGGGTTTTGGGCATTTTTGACCTGAACATCATTTTTCCGCTTGAAACGAGCATTTATGTCACCGATCAGATACTTGTCTAATCCTCGTAGAAAATCAAATAGGATCATGCAAGAAAACAACATTTAATACAAGATTCATTAAATTAACTCTGCACTCTACTCCTTTTGGATGGTAATAGTGAAATTGTCATAAAACTTCATAGGTTTTGGGGTATCATTGTCCATGAATTCTATTGGTATCCAAGCTTGAAAATCATGACCTTTGATTCCATCTTTACTTGAGCGAAATCGCTCTCCATAGTACATGTATAACGTTTCTTCAGATGATATTGGCAAAGTGGCTACATTGAATTGTTGAGCAGGAATTGTGAAATTTGTCCCATATGGATCATTAATTGAGCATGGATTGATATTCATGCCGTCAACATGATCTGGCGGAGTTTTTCCATCAGCACAATAATCTAATTGACTGAGATAGGTCCAATTACCGAGAAGATCAGTACTAGTAAATGTTCGCGCATCTGCGCCCCATTGACAAAAACAACAATCGGTGGATAACATTGTATAATAAATTCCTTTCCTTTTGAAGACTCCACCCCCTTCGTACCATGGATAATCTTGTTTCTCGAAAATAATCGAGAACTGCCCCGTACTTGTCATCCAATCTGTTGAAAGTTTTTCTATTACATGTCTCAAAGGTGCATCACGTGTATTATATCGAACATAAGCTGTATTATCATCGTCAACAAATAGGCCAGTAGTGCTGCTGATTACTCTCCCTCCTTGCATCACTAAGGGCGGAACATTCACAAAAGGACCAAAGGGTGTTGAAGAAACAGCAAGGGCAACAGTGGAATTTTGAAATCCATATCTACTTGACCAATAGATCATGACATACTGTCCAGTACGACTATTATAACCAACATTTGGCATCCAATAATTGATGTGATTGTTATCCTTGGTGACTTCAGGTACAATATTATTACTAATCAATGTCCAATTCACCAAATCGGATGAAGTATATAAAGCAAACGTATTGTTAATATAACCACATTCACCATCACAAATCGTCGTAGATTGATGACATTTACCGTAAACGGTGCCATATATGAAATAGGTATTATTAAATTTAACCAGACAACCATCATGTGCATCTACATATGATCCATTTGTATCCAATCGAGGGAGAACATTTGAAATAACTACTTGCTTGCTTGAAACAAGCAGAAAACTTGATACGAGCAAGGCACAGAAAAAACTCATTGGCCACATAACAACGTTTTCAAATCATTGACAGAGTAATACCAAAAAAGGTCTATTTTTTATTAACAAGATAGGATATGGTTTACGAGAGAATGTCATACCTGTAAAACTCTACTGTTTTATCTTAATATTGATATAGTAAGTTGCTCTGGCTATTGTTGCTGCTTCTGTGTATAACGCAAATATGAATTCGTATACTTTAAAAACAAAGCAAATGATGATTCGTTGAGGTAGCGTGTGCATAGGAACGTAATGAAGACCTTCTCCCTTATCTACCCTCGAAAAAACTTATTCTCTTAGCATAAATATTAAATAACTGAGAACTGATACGCCCTTTCCCTCGCTATATAAAAGCTGTTAGCGTTGTTTTGAATAAGATTGAATCAATTTGTAGAAGGTGGATGCGGGTGTCGGTGGGCTCTCATATTTAGCAACGCCACACCCACACTTAAAAAGATAAACGCGAATATTTAGTAATCAGCTCAAAACTTCACAGACTTGTGGTTGAGTGCTAATAATAATAATAAAGCTTTTGTTCTTCTTATTAACTGAAATTATTAAGCAAACACTTGGCTGTGCCAATGAACATCGACATGTGAAATTATCTTGAACATTTCTCTTCCATAAACATATTGCAATATTTTTGATTACTCTATGCAACGACTAAAAAAATGAACAGAATATTATTACTATAAAATTAAATCTTCCATATCCAGAATAGGAATTACGGTTATCCCTATTTTTCGTCGTAACTTTATCTTAAATCGTCGTCTACAGTGAAATACGGGTCGCATTTTTGCACTGAGATGAGAACTACTCATTCATTTCATTATTTTAAATATACCGATAAATAGATTTTATCACAACTCTTTTTTTCTAAATCTTATTTTTGTTGTGTAGTATTAATCAAAGCATTTAGAAATTTAGATGGCGATGACTTTAATAAAACAATATTTGGCAATCAATTGCAAATTCATTTTTTAATCTTTAAAGAACAACAAAACGAAAAGCATTCATTCTATTGCGATTGACTAGTGGCCAAAAATCGTTACAAATACAGCTAAATATTTATTTATTATTATTCATTGATGCTACATGGATAGTTATTTTATTTTTTAACATTTGATATCGATGAACATGATATATCTATTAGTTGATATAGCTTATGAACGATGATTTTGACCATGATTTGTTGCATTTGATTCAAGTTCAACATGTGAATCATTACGTGATTTACACCTTTCATGTTGCCACTTATGTCGACTAATGTGAATGAAAAAAACCATCAATAAATAAAAGAAAACTCGCGATTTATTCTTACCGACCTTGAAACCAAATCTAAACAAAGAAAATGAATAGATTAACATAAAAAAAGATTATATTACTTTAATTTGTCGTTCAGTTAATTCAAGGTTACGAGCCACTTCAGTTCGTCGCGAACGCGATAAGTATCTATTAATAATTATTTATAAATATTTATACCAAAATATTCTTTTCTTACTTGTTACAATGGAATTCTTTTTCTAATTCAAGTAGTTGATAACTTGTATAATTTGTTCGACTACATCTACATTCAGAATTGAGTTCTATGAAGAAAAAAGTTAGAACGACTTCATAGTAATCATATAAATAAACAAAATAGTGGAAAAAATGTTAATCATTTGTATATGTCAAATTTCTATATTTTCAAAACATCATTTTTCTCAATTAACTTATGAATACCTGGTCTCATCGATGGATATTCATAATCAACCATAGAATTTGTAACTGACTTTGAAATTGTTAATGATGATACCATATTATTAACTGATGATGTAGCATTATTTGATGCTGCTGAAAACAGATCATTAGTAGATTGATATTGTTCATCATGAGATGTAGCTGGTTGAATCGTATTCAAATTTGAAGATGTATCCATAAGTGTGGAATCTTTATTCGTTGGTGATAAATTGGAATTAGCATTCATTGCCTTTGTAATAGAGAGATATTTAAATAATAAAATTTTCTATAAAAAAATTCACACACACATTTGGATCAGTTAAAAAGAAAAACTTTAAATAGGTATATAAATAAAGACGGTGAACGTATTAAAATTCAATTGAAATTATTTTTGGTATGTTGAGAAGAGAATAATTATAATGAAACAGCCTACTTGCTCGTATTTAATTCAAAGAATGGCCTATAATACATGCAATATGAGGAGAAAAATATCAGATCAAAATAGCATAAAGAGAAAAGAATATGTGCTGTGTGTAAACATGAATGCATGAGCTCGACAGACGTCCTTGAATGCCGACATGATGTATGGGATCGGTCACAGCAATATTTCTTGATAGCTTTGCTTCAGTCATATTATCGAGAATATTTTCCAGCCATTCACAACTCGAGAAAAGAAAAGTCTCTGTCCAATCTTTAGCGACTATTGACCTTTTCACCGAGGATTGACCTTCTCTCTCTCCTATGTGCTCACATCCATATATGTTACACTTAATAAAGAAAAGACACAGTTGTGGGTGTGCAGATGACCTAAAACACCACCGTGCCGACCGCCATAGACAATCAATATCTTTCCTTTGTTTGATGGGCAATTTATTTATTCTCTCATTTTATCATTACCCGATAAAGATTTACATGTAGTGTTCATAGACAACTTTCTTTAAAATTGTATTGCTGCGAAACTTTTATTTTTCATATTGAGATGTTAGAAGTATCCTTTGGTATATTTAATGATGACGATAAAATTATTTGATCCAATCGTCGATCACTTGGTCTTTTGAATGAAGAATTTCCAAGTTTTTTTCTCGCATTGCTATGTAGAGATCACATTTTTTGCAGTTAAGAATGTCATACAAGTAAAATTAAGAAGATCTTAGAATTGTTACTTTTTCACACCTAACTTTATTTTATTGAACTATAAATCAGGAGCATCCGCTTACCATTATTATTACATTAAATAATACTAATTGTAATATTCTTGTATTAGGATTAGCATAACGCAAATACTTATTATAATTTTATAAATATCTTGCAGATCTATCCATTTTGTTGCAATATTACTATCAATGTACTCGAATTCTTCTTGTAGTGTTTATATTAGTAACAAAATTCTATCCACCGTGACTATCTTAAGCGTGTGGATGTGGACGAAAACCAGACTACAACTCACATCCACCCATTCCCCAAGATATAATCTATAGATAAAATTAACTATTCCACTAATTTGACAATGAAATTTATTTATGATTCTATACTCAAAGATATTGAACTAACTCTAACAATAACAAAGGTTTATCATTTGGAAATTTTCGAAAAATAAATCTCAATTTCTATATTAATTCAAATTCTTAATCTATTATCACAAATAATTACACTAAAAACTCATTCATTATCAACAGATGACACAGCATAAGTAACTGTTAAAGAACTTTATATGTTGTGTTCAATGAAAGATACAAGCAACATTACTGAGGTCTATCTTGAACGCATTCATACTGTTGAACAAATTTATTTCATTTTCACACTTTGTTCATATATGTAATATTTTAAAGTTGGGCTTATATATTCAATAGATTTTCAATTCTTTTTGGATAATATTTTCAACAGCATTAAACATGATCATCATCATCTTGATTCATTATGTCTTCATATGCCAACAACAGGTGATAAAATATGAGACTCTACCTACCCATGTCCAAGAAAACGGAGCGTAAATGGTCGTAAACGGCGTAAAAACAGTGTAAAACATTGAAAAATGGCACCGTTTCTCGAACTGACGGTCGGAATGATAGTCTTGGGTATAGTCATTTTAGGATTAAACGTGTATTTGATAATGTTTATTTAAAATAGAAATAAATCAAAGGCAGCATCTTTTTTTCTTGTACAATTTATTTCATAAATAAAATAAGTTTCGAATTAATCAAATTTTTGTTGTTTGTTTGATAAATAATTGAGTTAACTGGTGTTTCAAAAGTTCTTAAAAAGGACTGGTGGCGTTAAGAGTCGAAATCGGCCCCCTTTAGGAATCGGTTTTTTCTCTTCCAAAATTATCCAAAACGATGCCAAAAATTGTTTTATAGCAAAATCTGTTCAATATATTATATGTTTTGTAGGCACAGACAGCTCGAACTTTAATACTCAACATGAGGATTTAACCTTATGCTACGTTTTAAATACGCCTAACATCCACCGACATTTTAACTTCTATCACTTCTCATTCACTAGATCTTGATTAGATCTAGAGTTTTACGTAAAACAATTACATAAAAACCTTGGCCTGGGGGTCATGACAAGGGGGAAATATTAAATGTTTTGATAAATAATCGTGATCTCTGTTAAAATGGCTAAGAGAATAGTCTCGATTTTAATCGGAACCATTGTGAATTTTATATCAAAAGATAGATCTTGATCAGATGTAAAATTTTATGCAAAAAATCGCGAAAAAAACCTTGACCCGGAGGTCATGATATGGGGTAAACAGCAAATTTTTGAAAAATAATACAACTTTGAGACGAAAAGACTAACCGAAGAGCATTCATTTTAATCGGAACCAATATGAATTCTGTATTAAACGATAGATTTCGATCAGATCTAGTGCTTTATGCAGAAAAATTGTGGAAAAAACGTTGGCCACAAAAAATTACCATACAGATATCGAGCTATGTACATGTTTTTATGTTATTTTTCATTATTATTTTCCGCATGCTGCTCGAAAAACCCTCGATTTCAGTAAAACCAATACCATATCTAAAATCAGCATTCAAAACTGAGTAGAAACGCATAAACCTCAAAGAATTTTAATCATTTTAATTTTTTTCCAAAATTATCCCCCTGGTCCCCGTCAGGGGTATGTGTAAAAGTCAATCGCATCAAACACATCTTGAAAGTTATTGAATATACTGTTCGGTGGGTAAAACGAGATCCGTACTGAAAATAGTAGAAAATAAAACGATGCAACTTACCTTTTGAGACATTCGATTTTTTCACATGCCCCTGAGGGGGACCAGAGGGATGATTTTGGAAAAAAATAAAAGTGGTTATAACGCATTGAAATTCATATGAAGGGTGTGGATGTGGGTGTGGGTCAGCTTGTACACTGTTAGTTAGAAAATAAATTATAGAGAAAGTAGAAGGATATTCAAGGAATGCCTATATGAATTCAGTGATGAATTTCTACTTTCTTGAAAATAAAATATTGATTTTTTAGTTTGGGTTTTATGCAGTAAATTAAATTGAATTTCTATTATTTGGAGAATCAAGCATTTTCTAAATAATAGAAATTTGATGCAGGAATCATAAACGTTTGAAAATGCTATAGATAATTTAAAGTCGATTTTCTACAAAATAGAATTTAAAAAAAATGACAGTGTGGATGTAAATGAGAGGCTGGGTCACGAAAGAAGATCTCGACCCACACCCACACCAACCAGTGAGATGATTAAGCAACAGGATAAATTAAGAATGATTCCAGTTTACGAAGTGTCTCTATGTCTGCTCGAGTGATTTCTTGAAGAAAATGGTACCATAACAGACTGGCTGAAAATTAACTCTTACAGTGAGAATTCAAGCTGATCATTGGAGTTGAGTTTGTCCAACTTTCGACTTCCATTCATGAATCAAACTTAAACATACCTGACACATACTTATTATACATAGAACAGAGATTCTATTTACAATTTTCTTATATTGCTAATACCAACTATGTATATTTTTATCAAGATTAATTATATTGTGGCTATACTAGCTATATTTTTCTTAAATGAATATTGTCTTGGATTAAAATATATGTTTCTTAGTTTACCAATTATCGAATAGATAAAATCGAAACATAGTAATTTGGATTTTTTTTCTTATGATCTAAGCTCTTTCGATATTCATTTGCTTCAACGTGTTGCTCGGTGAAAACTTCACTTTGTAGGAGGAACAGATGAAACGTGGACTCATTGTGTGTTACCGATCAATGAACTGAACAATACAGTGTTTTTGTTAATTTTATTATTGTTTATTTCGAACCTTGTACAACATGCTTCTATTTAGTACTCAATCTTTTCTTGGTCATCATATTTGTGCACACGATTTTATTCGTAAATGCTCAACAGACATTGTACGTACGCGTCGATTATACCAAGTCGAGCAAGAAAATACATTGACGGGTCAAATTATCGATCAATTAATTATGACGTTCAAGAAAAATTATGCTTCTCGAGAAAATTACCATAATTAATCCTTAGTCTTCACTTCTTATGATAAAGATAATAATTATAGCATTCAATGTATTTTCACATACTAACAATAAGACGGTTATGTACAAAATGTTTGTCTCGTACTCCTGTTTGCCCATGATTTACCAATATTTTACTATCCATTGATCATTACATCGTCCAAAATAATCAGTCTTTTTTTCTATTTACTATGAACAGTTTATTTATGTTTCGTCGTATTTTATGTTTAGATCAAAACAAATATAAAACATCGTCGATCATTTCGATAAACAATCTCACAGGCATTTAGTTTTTCAATTAAATTATTACTGATGTCATTTTTATTCACAATTCAGTTGAATTTTTAAAAGGCTTTTTTCTTTTGGAATATAAAAAGAGACAACGTTTATTGATCTTGTTTTTCGTGAGTCTATACAGATGAAAATGGAAACCTGAAACTTTTTGATACGATCTATAGTCACATAATAAGTCAAATAGACGTTTAAAAAATAAAAGTAATCTTCCAAGAGAATTTTTCAAAAGAAAAACGATGATCTCCTTTTTTTGTTTTTTTCACCGTAAAACATTCTACATTGCTCAATTATATTTTAATAATTAGTCATAAATCAAATAACTATTTAATAAAAACTTCATATGTTCATTGATTGAAAATCATTTCTGTTCAGAAGAAATTATTCAAGATGAAAATTAGAAATACACTATGACGAATGAATAAATCAAATTATATCTATGGAATCCATGTTTAAAGGGTGTGGATAAGGGTGAGTTGTATTTCAGAGAATAGACATATAAACACTCTAACACGCACACCCGATCCAATTGAAGAAAAGATGAATGTACAATTTAAATGGAATGCTTTATAATCGATTGTGAAAGTCTCTCATATTCAATGAAAGAAAAAGGAAACTTTAATTGTTTATATCATGGTGTATGGATCCTCTTGATCAAATCTTTTGCTTCACGAATTAGCTTATGTCCAGATGGTAATCTTTTCTTGCGAATTTTCAGGGCTTTTTCAGCATACTGTAGAGCTTCTGTAGGTTGTTGCTGTTCGTCATAGTATACACCTAATTGATAACAAGCTAATCCTATATGTACATGATCTTTGGGCAACATTTTCTCGAGTTCTGTTAGCGCCTGTAGATAAAAGTCAAGCGTCTCGTTGACATGCCCCAAAGCATGATGTACGAGGCCGATATTGCATAGCGTTTGACCAATGGAAGGATAACCATTCGGTACAATTTTTTTATACAGATCTATTGACTTTGTCAAATAGACTAAGGCTTGCGTGTAACGTTGTTGATTAAAATAAGCAAACCCAAGTCTATTGAAGCTACGTGCTATTTCAATATGATCATGCGGTAAAATGTTTTGATATATAATCATTGCACGTTTGTAGTAGAGCAATTCACGTCTATAGTCATGTAATTCATAATACACACTACCAATGCCAGCCAATGTTCGGGCTAGGTCAAACTTTGATTGAGGTAACTTAACACGTTGAAGGCGTTCTGCACGGCGAAGAAACTTGAGCGCTAGACGATTTTTACCTTTGAAGCGATAAACTCGCGATAGACTATAGAAGACATTGTGTCTATCGTCATGACCACGTGGCATTTGTGCCAAGAGACTTATAAAATAGTTGTATGCCTTTGTATATTCTCCCATATCAGTAAGCAATATACCGAAGAGTACACTAGCATTTGTTTCTTTTATTCGGTCATATACATAATATTCATATTCACGATAAAGTTGAGCAATTTCGGCTGAAGTTCTCATTTGAATATGCCATAGAAAACGTTCATTGTCATAGACAACTGATACAATTTCGAATGTAGCACCCATATCGAATAAAATTTCATTTTCATTTGAAAAAGCGCTGTGTGTACTGATATCAGCTAGAACTATATTTGATGGATGATCTTGACTTATAATGATTTCGAATAGAACATATTGTTGTTCATCGTCTCGAGCTCGACTTGGTGACATCCCAGTATTGCAGTCAATACCGCAAAATATTTCAGCGATATGTTGACTACTTGATGATGAAAGAAATCCATTAGCTGCAACAAGATGTCCAACACAATACTTTTCGACTTCATCACGGTGTAAACATGTACCACGGTAAACGTGTGTTGACATTTTGTCATAATTTTGTAACATTTCTAAATTTTTACTTAAATCGGAAATGAAATAGCGAAATTTATACAATGATACAATGTCTTCGCTGCACAATGCTTTGTTAATCATACGAAAGAGAAAACAAGGTCGCGAATACCAATAAATAGCATCAGTTGAGAGATAAGTATTTTTGAATTCATTTATTATTTTCAGTTGAGTAGGATTACCTTTATAATATGACCGACATTCATCGAGCATTTGTTCTAGAGCATCATTTGAATGTGGCATAGCTTTGATCATCACTATGAATAAAAAAAAGAAAGAAATTTGTTGTAGGTTTAAATCATATCTATCGTTGCTATTCTATAGAGTACATTTAAAACCTTGACACCATAGAAAAGGTGCGAGTTCTTGTCGAAGATCACGCAGAGACCGTTGTTTCCGATCTAATGTACTAAAAATATTTTCTGTTTGTTGAATAGCTTGATGTTCCAAATGCGTTATCGTTTGTTGAAGTTTATTTATCATCGAATTATCATCTTGGAAAATCTCAACGATCTTTGACTGGTAATTTTCAGCCAAGCTCAGTTGATTTCTACTCGAGTCAACAATAAGAATAGAATATACTTGTTCACATTCATATGCGTTTTCAAAAAGTTCATAACCATGAAGTATGACAATAATGCGCTCATTCTTCTTTATGCTTGATGTAAAATATTCAACACACTTATATGCTTGTGTGTAGAATAAAATATAGTCATTCAATTGATGAAGACGAGCAATGGTTGATACATCGAAAGTTGCTTCCGAGAGCATTGGATCAAACCAAACTAGTGTAATAGATTCACGGTTTGGAACGAGACAACGAATAGGAACATCGTATATGATAGAATCAGATTGAGTACGGCTGAATGGATCCTGTTTAAATTCAAAATCATGAAGAAAGATTAAATAGAAATTAATAAATATTCGACAGTCTTTTGTGATAGAATCTGCTTGAAACAGAAACAAAGCGTTCCCTAGCCTATATCGGAGGATGAAGATATCATCAATTTTGCTTTAATGACCACTGTCTTAGTGAATTTATATCCCTTCATAGTTTTATTAATTTTTCTTTAAAGCCTTCTATGAAAAACCACTTTTTCTGCTATATGATAGGGAATATGAATTTGCGGCAAAATCGAATTCATTAAAATCATCTCTATTTGTGACAAAATAAAAACTGTACTGGTATAGCGGTATACCGCTATACTACTATACCATACAATGGNTATGATTCTTAAAACGTTCTGAGTATCACCTATGGGGGAGCGGATCCAACAGGACCTACCAGGATCTATTAGGATCCAAAAAGTCTGATCCGAAAAAGGAGGAATCGGTCGTAGGATTTTCGAGTAAGAAGCATGAGCGAACTGATAAGATTGATATATTAGTCAATTCCGATGAATTCTGCTAGATTCCGCTGAATTTTTCGATACTTAAAAATCAAGTAGGATGCAATATAGGAGTGTACAGCTTACGCTCATGAGCGTGAGCGATATATTCCTAATTATTATTATTACTTTTATTATTTATTACGAGTAATAAAGTTTAAAAAATTGAAACTAATAAAAGCAACAACTGATAATTAATAATGTGTAACAATTATTACCGTAATAAATACCGACCCAAAGATATTACTTGGCATTTTTTAGTATCCATCCAGGAGGAGTTCTTATAGCTACTTGCGACCTACCGTGAGATCGTATTAGAAGCTTCCAGGTCAGACCAGAACTGGCCCCTATAGCTATTAGGAGCCTACCCATAGGTGATACTCAGAACGTTTTAAGAATCATATAAGGGTAATGCTTAGAAGTGTTTTGAGCCTGGCCAAGGGTGGTACTTAGAAATTCTAAGGACTCAGTCAGAGAGAGTAGTCAGAAGTTTTACGGCCTACCCATGGATGGTCTCTTTAGCTATTTGGGGATCTACTTACAGATAATACATAGAACTTTTAAGAAACTACCAAGGGGTAGTCCTGTACCTTTCTGGACCAACTTCAGGATGGTAATTAGAACCATGTGAAAACTTCCCAGGGCTGATCTGTGCAACATTTTAGTACATATGTATATAGTGGCATCTCTTGTATTCTTCTGCGCAGTGTGGGCGGGGCTTCTTATAATTTATTCAGTCGTAACTAGGGGTGAACCGAGACCAAAACCTCGACCGCGACGACTGAGACGGAGATGGAAAGTCTCGGTCTCGGCACAACCCTATTCGTAACTATTGGCAGTATCTATAACTTTTTTAATCCTATATAAGCATCGTTCTTTTAACATGTCACTCTGTCCAGCAGTGATATCTTCAAACTTAACGTACTATCCTTAGCGGTCCCGAAAAATCGATAAGGACAACCCTTAAGTAGATCCCAAATGACTAAAGGAACCATTCCAGTGTAAATCCACAAAATTTACGGGGACCTCCTCTAGTTAGTATGCAAAAGTCACAGGGATCACATCTAGATAGGACATAAGGGATCGAAGGGGGTTGCCCTTAATTACGGCCCACATAATACTAGTGATTGAATGCAGGTAATCTAGCGATTGTAGACAAATCAGTGAATAGAACTGTTTCAGCAGTTCTTTCGTTCATTTGATTGGAACTACGATCTGAGAGCTGTTGTAGTCCTAGTGGTGAGAAAGTAGAAATATATTGATAAATAGAATTAATTCCACGACCGAGTTCTTTATTGCTTTATTTATTCCTTATTACTTTATTAATTTGCCTGGCTTTTAGTTAGTACTATTAATTCGAAATAACAGCTATTACTTATTACCGGTAATAGTAACGTGCTACCCCTACTAGACATATATAATAATATCCTAGCCTTGTTCCTTGGTAGATTCCGGTAGTAAGATGACCGAGTTTAAGAAACAAATATTCGGAAACTACGATTTTCCAAACTTTAATGAGCCTATTCTAGCGCTTATTGCCGATTCATCGATTAAATATATTAGATAAGAAACTGTATGAAATACTATAATGTTATTTTTATATGAATACAGCTAAAGTGCGTTCATTATTACTAATTTCTTGCATATTCTACTTGGAGAAGAAACGCTCATGTTTATCAGCACTCATGGCCATGAACTGCACACCCCTAATCCAGCAGAATCCATGTTTTTTACATTGTTTGAAGATTGCTGTAAAACGAATCAGGATTTGGTGTATTGTGGTAGACTCGGACGTATTTAGTAGATTCAAGTAGCTTCTAATAGATTTCCCTACACTCCAGTCAATCTATTGTGCAATCTAATACCCTCTATTAGGATCCATCAGGATCCATCTGGATTCATCAGGATCCATCTGGATTCATCAGGATCCATCTGGATTCATCAGGATCCATCTGGATTCATCAGGATCCATCAGGATCCATCTGGATTCATCAGGATCCATCTGGATTCATCAGGATCCATCAGGATCCGCTTTTTCTCCCTTGGTAACGTTATATGCTGAGAGCGTCCAAATTTCATCCGGAGGTTTACCACTTCCGTTCGAGTCGAGTGAAATTTATACATGACGTTTGGTCTTATGGTGACATTTATTCTCATCCTACCTATTGTCTTTATCTTTCTGTTCTTGACATTGCTTTTTATCTCTCATTTTCCTTCGTTCTCTCAAATGGTTGAGCATTTCAGTGTGGGCTTTATATGTAATCGACGCGATTGATTATTTAAAGAATCGAATCAAGTGTAAGACCATTAACACTAACGTTCCATTCAGATACAGGTTTTAAAGATCGATAGTTTTTCTTACTATCTCTACTGGTTGTTGATCTGGATCGAACACCGATCTGATCCCAAGTTCTTCTTCTGAATCGCATGAGCTTTCCACTCATTGACTAACTGTCGCTCTCGGTGTATGTCACAAAGTAAACAGTATATTATCGTATGAGTGTTCTGAGACAAACAACTATTAGTGACTTATCATGTAGTATGCTATATCTGATAGCACTAAGTTTCCAACACAGTACCTTAGTAATAATACGCGCCAAGCAAATTAATCATTCACCCATAACGTTTTCAACAGCACGCTCACAGCAAAATGTCACACACTATACTAAAGCATACTATTTTTCATTAGTTTTTTGCTTGCGATGCGTTTCTTTGGTCAAATGAATACTATTCAAAGCTACAAAGTGTATGCATAATGAGAATATATTTTACAATGCGGTGAAAACGGTTATTGTTAGGCCGTGCTTTTATAGACCGAAATATAAACTCAGTTTTGGGAGAATGAAGATTCACAATTTGATAACTATAGCAGTTCTAATGATGGTTCAAGTGCTGAAATTACTTCGGCCATCGATGTTTGTGGAGATAAATTAGTACGCTACATAACATTTCCTCAAATTGTAATGCGAAGACGATAACGAAAACAAAAAACAAAAACGATGATCAAAGATAAGAACTTGACTTTACTCAGTGTTCTGAGTCACATTAAAAGGAAATTACTAAACGGTGGTTCATAAGTCTCGATCCCTATAAGTAAATTGATGATATATTTATAACAAACATACACGAAGTTATTGATCAAATTATTTCATTTTGCAGAGGAAGATTAAAGATATCATGTGAAAAACCCTACTTCGAAATATAATTACAAACCGATTACAATTTTTTTACTAACCTTGAGTAAATGCTTTGACGTTACATTTTTCGAAAAAATAAAAAAATGTTTGATGCTTGTATCGTTAAAGTCTAGTCAAATATTTTATTCTGCAAATTTTCAACAGATACAAAACTCGAAAGGAACCATGCAGACCAATAAAACGATTACATATCTTCCATGAGATAGTAGGCTTAACTTTCAAAATATTTAGTTAATCAACTGTTAACTGATGTTTCGAGATGCAATGTCAAACACTGAGGTTGAAAATAACACTTCTGAGCTGCCTAAATAGATGGAATAGACAGCCAGCTAAAGCTATGGAAAGCTTAACTTAATCACTTTAAAACTTGACACATAGAATTTCTAATGATCTTTCTGAGCTCGTTCACGTTTTATACTGAAAATAAGATCAACGATTATCGAAGTATTCATATTCTTGTAGAGCCAGTTCAAATCTATCGAATCAACAAAATGACATAATTTGATCAATAACTTCGTGTAAGTTGGTTATAGATATAATCGATTTACTTATAGGGATCGAAACTTATGGGCCATCCTTTACTTACTTGTCAAGCACTCGTAGAGTATACATATTTTGTTCTGTACTTCCTCCAGATTTTGATGTGTATTTATTGTTTACGAAATTGCCTAGTTTTTTCCAACTTGGTTTTGCGCATTTAAACTGACAAGACTCGTGATATTCATCGACTATGCAGGTTTTTAATGAATATGCCATCATTGTGTGTGATTCATTACTTTTGCTTTCCTTTATATTTAGTTTTGTTGTGATGAAAACATAGAAACTTATATTTATAAACACGAGCGTATCACATAAAAATGCCCAGCTGCTCCCCTCCCCTCGATCATGATTTACTGTGTATCGATTAATTATGAAGATAAACATTGAATATTTATTGACGCCGTTTACTGCTCTTATCAACGAATACTTACAATAAGTAACAGTCATCGTCAACAACCATCATGAAGGGTATGGAAGTGAGAGTGTAGGTGTCGGTATCGGTTGATTTTTATCAGCTATCAAACGATATTCACACTCATACTCACACCGTTAAGATAGTCGACCACACAATCCTTTCGGTGTGTATTTATACTGTGCAGGATTTCGCATATGCGTATGCCATATTAAATCGATATCAAAATTTGGCAGAATCATTTCACACTGTTTAGGTAATTTCATAACGAAAATATAATTTGGAATTTATTAAGAAAACCATTTTGACGACATCGGCAAAGTGTGTGCTGCAATCATGATGATAATTGATCCGATACAGACGATGCACATGCGAGATCAATTCGATTTCCCAGGTGAATTCGGCTTGTTGGCAATATGTTGTCGTGTTGTATGTAGCCATTCGTTTACAATACTCATTGATAAAATAAAATAATATTTGTCCTTATGTCGTCATTTCTGGATGTGCAATTACTTGACGTTGTAATATGATATGATCAACCAAATCATGTCAGTACAGTGAAAATCTACAACTGTAACTTGTTCGAACTTGCACGTTATAATTCAGAACTGAGAGCAATAATAAATTGCCCATTCTCTTATCAATATGTTTTGTCAATGCTAGGTAGGAACTACCTTATATACATGTAAAAGATGGCTTGGGATTGTATTTAGAAATATCTTTTAGGTCGATTTGTCATTCTTAGCGGCTTATGATGACTGTGTAAATGTTGCCTTGCCTTTGTTATTGCGCACATTTTATCACTTCTTCTCGAACTTTGTCAATCTGCTTTTTTATTCCTCTTGATAGGCAATGAATGAAAAGTGTAGAAAACATATGAAGAACGAAAAAACTTTCATTATTATTCCTATTAACCTCCTGAATCCCGAGAATTCTTGAGTTCTATTCAAAGCTAGAGAAAAATTAAGAAATCACTTTCTTTTGCGTTCTGTCGCTCTCAATTAGCTGTATAAATATTTTCTTCTTATAGTTAGAAGAAAATAATCAGTAATCACCATTGGCTGAATGTACGATTCTCTATCCATTTTCTGCTTTTTAAACATATATTCAACGATACGACAGAACAAAAAAATATTCTTTCGTTCTGTTTGTCTTCAGCCTGAAGACAGTGGTCCTCAGGAGGTTAAAACTCGTATGTGGACATACGGTGTCGCGTGAATCGAAAATACGAAGGTGTGGGTATAGATAAAATGAAGATTTGAAATGGGATAAATATAAACTAATACCTAAAAATATAGCAATCCATATCTAATTTTAAAATAAATTTATATCTAATATAGAATGAATTCATATCTAATTAAGAAAATACTATATATAATTTTAAAATTTATTTATATCTAATTTATTGAGTAACACCACCTGACAACACAAAGTTATATCTAATTAATTATTAAAGTAGTAGAAAAAAAATAAAGATACAATTATCAATTATAACAAAAAAACACAGCAAAAAAAAAGAAAACTATTGCACAATTAATGCTTTTTTAGCTTCAACAGAGTCTATCGAATCTGTTTTATCATCATCTGATAATGATTTTGCCATTTTTTTAATGGCATCTTTTTTTATACTTTTTAAACTACCTTTATTCTCGTCACTTGTTGTCATTCCTAGCTCATATATACTCTTTCAATTAATTGATAAGTGCTAATCAATTATAGATTACGTTCAAATTAATTAGATAACTCGATCAATTGATTGATAGTCATTTGTTAAAATTGATAATATGTTAAATTAAAAGACAGAACATTTTTTAATTCAGACATGTAATTGATTTAAAAGATGTTTGACTACAAAATTAGATCAAACAATTTTTTAAAAGGTGTTGTTTCACCAGAATAGATACTACTGTATTAATTTAGATATAGATTGCTATATTTTTGGGTATTACATTAAATGCATGCCATTTGAAATTAAACACACCAACACCCACACCCACACCCACACCCAATCTGAAAAATACCAATGAAAATAGTACTAAAAAACGTCCGCAGGTTAATAATTGTAGAACAATTTTGGGTGTCCATTGTTTTTGTTTCAATGTTTTTATATCGTTTTGTAGCGCTTAAAAAATACTATCAAACCGTACCAAAGACTTAAGTGGTGGAGCATCGATATGGGTTTTTCCTTTGGATGGATAACTTTAACAATAATGCATTATGTGCACTCACAATAGAGATACGATCTTTATGAGTGCATATCGATCGATATTTCTGCGGTATGTTCATATACAGATTTGTAGCTCTTGAAATGTTCTACACAACCATGTCAATGTTGGCTGGTTGAGCTACACCTTTGTGTTATAAAGAGTCTGGTTCTCATTGAAGGCTGGACTCAATTACATGCAACATTCATGCACTAACCCTACCAGCATAGTCAGTGGAAAAATAAGGGTTGGAGGAATAAATGTACTAGAAAAGATGCTCCGATAGTGTCTACAACAGTTTCAGATAGATGGGATCGCATATTTTTGAGGGACCGATTTCAGCTGAAAATGAAACCCCTCCCTTTATCTTTTATCACCTCGCATTTGGTCAAATCAAAAAAGCGAATGTTCTAACCTAGTCTAGGTTGTAGAGAATAATTTTCTATACAAAACCCTGTATCTCGTTTCTCTTCGGAATTCCGTTTTCTGCCAAGTTTTCTCTTTTCAGAAGTGCATACTGAAATTTGCGGGTTGTGATCAATGAGTGGGTCAGCGTATGGTAAAAGGATTGAGCAAAATGAATCATGTATGAATTAAAACGTAGTCAAGACCATGAGCATCAAAATGATATACAACATGAACCTATCTCTAGAACGTATTTTTGTGTCAACAGACACATTAATTTTCCAAAAAATTCTAAAACTTCAAAATTTTTGAAAATTTTCTAAAATTTGTCGCACTTATACTCAGGTACTTTTCGGTTGATTTAAAAAAACTGGCAAGACAGAAAGTCTTATATCAACGTCGATTACAAGCTCTGAAAGTTTCAAGCGATTTGAAGATTCTTGTGTATATTCTGGTAGAGACCCCATGGGAATACCCATATGTAATTAATCGAAGTAAATTTATTTCATTTTCACTATCATATATTGCATGAAAATTTACTGTTTGAAGTAAAAAACAAAACAAACTACAAATTAGCTAAATTCTACGATCAGTTTTGTTGTTTGTCTATTTTTTGGCCAGTTAATTATTACCCAGGTCATCTAAAATTAGTGTTTCCAATGTATATAATAATAAAGAATTTAATTTTTCATCAATCATTGCGATTCTTAGTCTATTTTTTACAATATTCATTTTGCTGAACGATCTTTCTACAATAGCTACTATCATAAGCATAGTTAAAAGATGTTCATAAACTTGGCATAATATAGGTATATATCCCATGTGATAAAAAATAGAAGAAAACTGACGGTTTATCGCTGAAAATAGTCCAGTATTCGCAACATGGATTTTGATAATGCGTTATTGTTCGTTATAGCATTATTTCGAAACAGTGCATTGAAAATAAGAAAAATAATGCATTATTTTTCCATTATCGACTACAAGGTAAGTGACCAAATCAATGTAAAAGCGACCATAGAAATAGTAGTAGTGATCCAATTTTAAAATGGCCATGAATTCGATTTAAGTGAGAATAAATACGAGAGAAAGAACCGTAATGATGGTCCAAGTGACAAAACTGTTAATCTGAAATGAATACAAGAACACTGTAAATGATCACGAATGCGACACCCTCAATCAGTGACTATTATGATAATATGATTCAAATGCGTAAAACTGTGCGCCAAATAGTCATAATAATGGTTCTTCCAACACGAGTTATGATCCAAATTACTTCAGACAAGGCCGAAAACACTATAGATATGATCATGTTGACCATATTTGTCATACTATGTTGAGGGTGGGGTGAGGGTGTGAATGGGGGCAAATTTCTGCGTATATACACTTCAACAGTCCTTTCCGTTCGTGTTTCACAACATGGTGCAAGACAGCACTCTTTTAAACATTCGGAACTATTTATGATATGACATGGCTCTTTAAACTAGCTAGTAGCCTGGATTGTTTATTAATAAACGAATGAAATCTTAAAAGATTCAGTATCTTCGCTAGAACCATAAATAGTTGCATATGACTCCTTTTTTTAAGAGAGTAATTATAATCTCATTTTTACAAGTTTGAGACTGTTTCTCCAATTTCGCAGGCGAGGATGATTTGACGGCAATGCTCGTTCTGCTGTATCCACAGCGCGTTCGTAAAATGGAAGTGCTTGCGAGTACGCCCCCATATTATAATACGTATTACCGATATTATAGTACAAAAAACCCAAATTAGGATCAGCCGAAGAAAGTTTCTGTTGTAGGATTTCCAAGGCTTTTTTATAAGATGAAAGTGCATTTGTATAATCTTGCATCCTTTCATACACCATACCGATGTTGTTATGGGAATAACCCACATCAGGATCAGTTGACGAAAGTAGCTCTTGTCGAATTTCAAGAGCTATTCCATGAGACGAAAGTGCTTTTGAATAGTCATTCATGTTGCGATAAGCATTACCGATACCGTTGTAGACATAGGCTATGTTAAGACGATTCGGAGGAGGAGTTTTTTGGTAAATTTCAAGTGACTTTTCATAGAATTTCACTGCTTCATTCTCTTTTTCTTGAAAATCTTTGATTCGTCCAAGCTGGTTGTAAATAGATGCTTTGTCACTCTCATGCGTTGCCTGTTTAAGTAGAATTTCATAAATTTGTTGAGTTTTATCGAGATGACCCATCTTAATTAGCACTAATCCTAATTTGTACCATCCTTCAGCATCTGAAAATGTCTCTTTCCGCATTCGACTAGCAAGCATTTCAAGATCTTTATCACTATCACTCGTCATTATCAAATCTACTTGAAAAAGACGATCATTTTCATTGATTGGTTTAATATCATGAATACGAAAAATGGTGTGCATCGAGAAAAGAACTTCATCTTCATCTGCGAATTCACTGACACCGATTATGGAAGCAAATGGTGTTGTTGATTTAGAAGGATCAATTGTCATGGTGAAGAGAATGCCAACCAATTCAAGATTTGAAAGAGTTTTACGAGCAAAACCAAGCGAGATATCTCGATTTTTACTGGTAGATAAAAAATTGTTGAACGCTATTAACCCACCTTTAGTTTTCATCATTTGATCGAAGTTACTCTTCGAAAGACCTTGCCCACGATAGAGGGTGAGAGTTTTACCAGAGTGATATCCAGCAAATTGCTTGGAATATAATTGTTCAATATCATCATGCAGATTACGAATAAAAAAGCCTATTTTGATGATAATGTCGACATCCATTAATCGTAAGGCTCGATTAAGCATTGGATATAGAAAGCATTCAGATGTGTACCACCAAATGGGTGTGTGATCGTAATATTCTTGTTCAAATAGTTTGATATTTTTCAATTCTGTGTCATTTTTGGCGAACTGTTCACGACAAAAATTGATGAATTCTTCAAGATGCTCTGGTTTGAATTTGATGGTTAATAATATTTCTTTCAGGATCTGTGTATACATAAAGGAACAATCGAGTTGATTCAAGTTCTTGTTCGTTTCATGATCGTTTGTTGCCATAAAACTAATTGATATGGCATTGGATTCGTATTCTGATGAAGTTTGCTTTAGGACTTCACAAATGGGTGCAATTTGCATAAAAACACCTTTGATTTTGGGCCAATTTTTTGCCCATTGTTCATATCGCTTTTTGTTACCACAAAAAATAAAAATAGAGTCCACTTGGGACAGAAGATGCACGTACGGCACAACACGTTGCCCAAGTGTACTAGAAACGATCAAGTATACCTTGTCATTACTTATGCTGTCGATATATTGAACACATTGATCATCATCAGTATATGTGATTATGTTGTTAATAATATTGCGTAGTTTCGTCACCACATTCTGGCATATCTCGTTGTTATCATCAATATGTTCATCCAACCATATCAGGACTACATTTTTCAACACTGAAATATTGGTACGTTGACGACCAACAACATCTCTTGATTTTTCTGCGTCACCAGATATACCACTTACTGGAGTATTTCCTCTTGCCATTACTTGTTGCTTAAAATTGCTTGTAAAAATACTAGTGTGTGATCGATTTAACAGACTTAATTTATGCCGTATCAATTTGTTTTCGAGATATTTTTTTCTGTGACAGTATTCGTAATTATTTTCTTACTGCTATTTATGTAGAAAACGATCTTTTTCTTACTGTTAAAGATGTTGCCAGAAAAAAAAACAAGAGTAATAAACACAAAGATCGTTGATAACGAACACACGACGAAAAAGAACGATAAAGAGTCGCTACGGGTGAAAATAAAAAAAGCAATTGGTGAAAAGGCACATTTTATTTTTCTTGGTCAAAAAGCAAACATTCAAAGTTGCATTTTTTGTCTTTTCAAGGGTGTGGGTGTGCCCCAGGTCGGTTAAAACGGATATCGTTACGGCGTCCTTTACGACCGTAATCGACAAGGATACGGAGTAATTACGCCCGTTTACGATGCAAATACGGCCCGTTACGGCGCCGTATTACCCCGTTTTAACAGGGGCAGTAATACGGCCGTATTTGCCCGTACCGTATACGGGGATGTAAACGGCCGTTAACGATGAATTACAGTGGTCGTATACGGATAGTATTCTTTACTGTGTACGGTAGTAAACGAGCCGTTTTCCTCCAGTTTTTTGAGACCTCGCTCCACGTCTTTTCCAACGAATACAAATTAAATAAGATCGAAATTAAATGTATTTAATAAAATTAAAATTAAAAAATTACAATAAAAAAATTACAATAAAAAAAAATAAATTTCAATAAAAATTAAATAAAGAAAAAATTACAATAAAAAGAAATAAATTTCAATAAAAATTAAATAAAGAAAAAATTACAATAAACAAAAATAAATTTCAATAAAAATTAAATAAAGAAAAAGTTAAAATAATTAAATAAAAATTAGAATGAAAGTAAAAATTAAAATTGAAAATAAAGTAAAAATCCCAATTAAATTAAATCTAAAATTAAATTAAAATTAAATTAGATCTAAAGTAAAAATTAAAAATAAACATAAAATGATATAAATAACTTCTACTTACTGTTATTAGACTTCATGCCCTCATATAATCTAAACGAAAATAAAATATCCAAAGAAGAAAAAGAAAGTATTTCGAATTCTAACTGAATCACATGTATGCACTGATTGGTGTAATTTACGCGCATATTACTGCGTAGGAGAGAGGGCGCTGTGATTTAGGTTAAGGAGAGCGGGATAAAAATAAAAGGCAATAATGGGTACAGTTCGACCAAGAACTAAGAAAAAAAAACATTATTCTCCAAGAAAGTGTGTTCTCGCATGTTCTGGCACCATACGATAAATACGATTGAAATACGGAGGGTTTCCGATGACCGTTACGCTATCGTTTACAATGGTCCGTAAACGACCATCGTAAACGCCGTCGTATTTACCCGTTATTATCTCGTATACGGTCATTCGTAAACGATCACCCGTCACGACCATCGTATTTCATCGTAATTGTATCGTTTACGACCGTTGACGGAGCGTTTTAACCGACATGGGTACAATAGCGAAAATTCGTGTCCAGGGTTTTTATTTGTTGACTATCTATGAGTTGATTTGAATGCATAATATGATAGATTGACACGTGTGGAGGAATATATATCCACGAAAGAAAGACGATGACGTCAATATATACAACGATTTGTTTTGTTTATTTCTGAATTAACATTCAAACTACTTTTTGAAATATATTTCCATATTGTTAAACAATGACTACCAGCTCTACCACAAAAAAAGATATCCTTAATGTTGGAATGGATAAATATGATTTACATACAGGTCGTTTAGCTAGTACTGGTGCTAATACCTGTGTTATCATTCTGGTATTATTTATGAACGAGGAAGAAATTTATATCGAACATCGAATTTCAATACCAGATAATTCGGATCCAAATAATATGAAAAAGTGTTTATCGTATGTGGCATCACATATAGATAATTTAGTTCAAGCAAACACAAAGATATCGTTAGTAGTTTTAATGATTCGTATTTAAGATGAAGAAAATGTTGATGATTTATGATAGAATATTTCATTAAGGGAACGTAAAAAATAGTTATTTTTGTTACAAATGAGATTGAAGTTTAATCGAAAATGTATCCTATATTAGTCTTCATGGCTATCCATCACAAAATAAATCAATCCGAATACAATATGGATAAAAGATAATATCTGTAGAAAAATATGTCTAGGTTTTTTTTGCAAACACCTATATATATAGGAAGATTTCAAATAAAAATGAACACTTCTCTCATTAAAGATAAATGTTTAGCAGAATAAAGATGAATATATTCGGACCTATAGAAAAACGTTTTTTCCATCTTTAATAAGCACAGTTAAAAGAATAAATGTAGCCTTGAACATTCTTTGATTTCATATGTTTTTCATTGTAGGTCGGTTTATATTCTTGGTGGAAATAAAAATTTTCCCAAGTATAAAAGTATGCAAGAATTCATTCAATCCTTAATGATACAAAATGATGTTAATGACAGAACAAGATATACAGAATTAATTCGAAACATCAAATGGGTCAATGTCTTATTTAATTTGTATACAAAAAAACCACAAACAACAGGAGAATGTAACATCAGTGTGATAGTCGATCGAAACATCACAAACACTCAAATTGCTCTTGTGCAGCGTCTATCAAAACTATCAGGAGGCTTGCCTGATTCGTTAATTGGTGTCATGATTTTGGACCTAGTATCACAAAATAGTTGGTTCGCAATCATTAATAACGAACCAAATAACCAAGGTATATTAAATGAATTTTGTATAATTCATACAATTTTAATTTTCAGTAGAAACTCTGGAGTTTCGAAGATTGAAGTTGAATTTAGAAACTTCTAAGTGAAAAAGAGTAGATTTAGTTTTCAGAGATGAAGAATTTTGAACGATAGATAAATAACAGATCCATACTTTTAGGAAAATCACCGTTGGGCTTAACTATCGAAGAATGATAAATATAAAAACAGAAGATTTATATTTGAACACCGACTAACAATAATGAAAAATATGAAAAAAAAGTAATGTGAGACAAATTTAAAAGTCAAAATCTTTTATTTTCATATATAAACGACGATTTCGGGTCTTATTCGATCGGTCTCAGGTTAGATACAGGAGTAGGTCAACGAGTATATATGTATATTCCTATTATTGCTACTGAGAATACTTTATAACAAAATCTAAACGTCAAATAGTAATGCACATGAACTAAAATAATAATTAATTTTTAATAAATTATGTAATAATAATAGGTTTACTCTTAATCAAATTTGACCAAATCAAAATATATTCAGGTTCTAAGCTCTATCAATATTTTATATATGAAAATAAAAAAGATTTTGATTGAAAAAAAGCACTACATCACCATTTTTGTTTTACATTTGATTTAAACTAATTTCAGCAGAACAAAATATTTTGATTATATTGGAGAACGAACGTTGGACGAACAGTTCTGAATCTTGCTCTTTTGAATTATCTGGATGCTAAATAGTTATTCAGTATAAATGTTGAAGTATTTTTCTATGGAAAAATTCACTTCACTAGGACTTATCAGACACATAAGAAGAAAACACTCGATACATGTTATATTTGTTTGATACATATTTATATTGCTAGAACATCTTTAGAAGGTTTCAGCATTTTTATTTTCCTTCTGAATTCTTAGTTTTAGCATGCCAAAACCTTGTTCAATATGAATCTAAAAAAGAAGGCTATTCTGTACAATAAAAACTCTGCAGCTCATCAGGAACACATAAAAATGCTACTCAAAATTTGTTTCGTACTGGATGCTTTTTTTTATAAAGTGTTACGTCTGACATCTTTATCTAGTTGGAGGTCAACACTTTCTTGTTTGTTTGTTTCCTCTCGTTCTTCTCTCCTTTTGTTTATTGTTATAAACAGTTATGTCTTATACGTGAATAAAGAAGGCCCTGTGAACTCAGGACATAACATAAAGATATCTACTTTTTCCTTCATTCTATAAATTCTTATTCAATTTAACTATAAGATAAAAAAAGAATATTGTACTTGATTGTTATTACAATTTCTTTTATCGTAGGCACTGCAGAAGAACAAACATATCACTCTGATTCAATCACTCATTTTAAAACAATTATGTCAGATGTAAATGCAACTGAAGGGTGTGGGTGTATTTGTTTTCTTCCAACTCACACCCACACCCTCAAGAGTGAAGTGATGGCTGGTGGAAGTGTGACATTTGACAATCGTCCAGGATCAGATTCGATAAATTTTCGAGAAGGTGAGACTAAACTCGAGTTTCTAGTTAAAACGAATAGAATTGGGATGGGGATTGTCAATAAGTAAATCGCTTCCACCATCATACCAACTCGAAAGCCATACTATTTCATATTCAACAAATGGTTTGAAAACTGAATAGACTTTGATTGATGTGCAGGGGCGGCGGAGCGTCATTAAGCTAGGTGAGGCTCATAATTTTGTTTTTCTATCGTGGAATTTTATGTACGCATCAATCAGAAAATAAGTCTTCTTTTTTATCGAACTTCAGAAAAAATAAAAATGGTCAGTATAAAAAAAAAGATTTGAAAATACCAAAAAAGACTTTTCTTTTCTGCTTCTTTGATGTAAGAATAAAAAATAGCAATATTCAGTGCAAAAACAAGTGAGGCTGAGCCTCATCTGCTGAAAACTACCCAGGTCGAACTCACCCCATTGGATCCGATGGGAATGCGTCGGAAGTCGTCGGAATCCAATACCAAGGATTCCGCCAACTTCCGACGAATTCCCATCGGATCCAATAAAATCCGATACTTTTCCGCTAGGATCCGACTATCGGATTGTTCGTCCTGGGTAGGTGAGGCTCAAGCCTCACCTGTCTCAGTGACTCCGCCGCCACTGTTGATGTGTATGATATTCTTTTTTGTCTTGTGAATAAACAGCTATCCATTTCAAACGGTTCTGTAGTCCATGGTAGCCCTGTCAATTTAGTTTTGTATCGTTGTCGCATACGCTAATTGAAGTGGCCATATTTTCCGATGCAACAGTCATTTTTTCGACTTCTTTGATGATCCCAACTGCCACGGTTCGTTTCATATCGATAATAGTGAATCGTCCCAACGATGGGTATTTCTCATACGTCTCAACACACACAGGCTTTACTGGAAGAATTTTCACAATGGCCGCTTCATTTGATTTGAGACTTTTCGGAGTGACTTCAATAGTCTTGCCCGCTCTTCGATCAATTTTTTCCAACAGTTGAATATAACAACAACGAATGTTAGCTGTATGACACGAAAGGGCAACAGTATAATCTTGCGTGATTTCAATTGGATGATGGAGTACAATAACCTAAACCAGAGTGAAATGCATAGGTGCACTACTGGCAGAGCATCTGATCTGCTTACATTAGCAATGAAACTTGCCGTCTCCTGAGCCGGATCGTTTTGAGCATCGCAACAGATGAGACCACGTCGTAATTGTTTCCGATCGACCTCTTTCACAAGGATACCAATGTTGTCACCAGGTACAGCCTCTACAAATCACTCTTATTTTCTATGATCACGAACAAAATCCGTTTACTTTCTATGGATGTCTGATACATTTCAATCGCTTGAACCGTAGCTGTGATATTCGATGGAGCAAATTTAACGACCATATTCGGTCTCAGTACACCTGCTTCGACTCGACCTGCGACCATGGTGCCAATGCCAGCGATTTTGAACACATCTTGTACAGGTAAACGGAATGGTTTGTTTATTAGTGACTGATTTATCACGAGTGCATCGAAAGCTTCGATCAAAGTCTGGCCCGTAACTATTTTTTCTGTGCGTTGGAGTATCCAACCTTGAAACCATGGCATTTTGTCGGATGCTTCAAATATATTATCGTCACATCGAGCTGAAACGGGCTCGAAAGCCACCTGTTCTGGCCAATAACCAACTTTGCTGATGTAATTCGACACTTCCGTTTAGATCTGATGAAAACGCTCTTCCGAGTACAAAACATCATCTGCATCCAACTTATTGACTATAACAATGAGTTGTTTTGTGCCCATGGTATATGCCAAAAGAGCCTGTTCGCGCGTTTGACCATCTTTTGACATCCCAGTTTCGAATTCACCCGTACGAGCCGACACTACCAGCACGGCACAATCAGCCTACATAGTAGACAAGACACATTATCGACGAACTACAGTTCTTGGCAAGGAATATCGAAGAGGGTTATCTACCTGTTTTCTCGGTGTGATGGTGGATTGTATAAAATCGCGGTGATCAGGAGTGCGGACGACCGTCATACAATACTTGTTTGTCTCGAACGTCTTCGATGAATCCATCTATGCACCAAGGCACACAGTTTATCAAATTTAGAAGAAGCGACGCTCTTACGACAACAATTTCTTTTTCACTCCTGTTCATGGTTCGTCTGTCATTACGATCGTTGGAATGGAGTAGCCGGCCGACGATTGTTGTTTTACCCGTGCTGATATGACCAATAAACATTATTTTTGCATGCACTTTTTCTCTGCTCATTGCTTCTACTTGTACGTTCATGACAATAATATTTCAGTCAGTCAAAAGAAAAAATGTGCTTAAATCATGAATGTATTGCATCAGTCTTACGCAAGACAAGTGTGTATGTGTCAAATTGGTGCAATTTCAGATCATACGCATAGGAAAGAAAAGAGAGAGTGATTCGAAAGACTAAATTTTATTCATAATTTATAAAAAATGATTAGTGAGCAATGCGATTGAGATTTGTATCGAAGGTACCAGAACGACGTTCAGTTGGGCAACCGGTTCTTGCTCAAGTTTTCGTTGGACCTGCCTTCTAAACACCACCTTTATGACTTGTCCGATCTTGGACGACATACTCCAAAATGGATGACTGCTTTGGTATGACAATGGACTGGTTTTTTTTGACAACGATAGTTCATTTTCGCATAACTCAACGGAATGACTAAGTTTTGACGAAGATCTAAAACAGTATTCATCGACATTCGAGTGTTTTTCTTCTGCAAAAACAAAGAAATCTTATTTAGATGTTGTCGAACAGTGAACACGATCTCTGTTCCTTTCAACAGAAGAACAGACTGAATATAATAGCGATGCTCAATGGTAGCCATACATTTACTGTAACCCCCCCCCC